ATGAATGAATGAATGAATGAATGAATGAATGAATGAATGAATGAATGGGGATCTGCAATGGAAATGAAAGTTCACAGTTCTGAACAAGATGGATCCAAAATCCCAGGAAGGCACTGCAAATTCCAAAATAGTGTTGGGAAAGTGATTGTTCTTTTCCAACCCCTGTTTAGTTGTGTACCACTGTATGTCACTGTAAACAAAGCTGTTACCTTTCCAGTCTTCATGCTCTGCCACTCCTGGATCAGGTTTCGTCCATCTCTTCTTTTGCCCCTGGATGAAAAGTCCCAGGGGTACTCTGGGTCCTTTGTGCCCCTGGGAGTCATGTACTTTCTCCCACCACCAATGATCACCTGGAAAACACACACTTTTGCTCATAACTGAACAATAAATATTTCTAAAACTAAAATCACGTTGGTGTTAAAATGTACATCGATGTCTATGTTTTTGATGAGCTGGGATGCAATGTCAGTGCAGCCGTCCTTCTTGGCGGCGTCAGGCATGTCGGCGTCGCTGTACCACTTCCTGCTGGCACTGTGGGCATAGGTGGTTGCTGGTGTGGCATGTTGCACACGTGTAGTTGTTACAATGCCAACAGACTTGCCTACAACATACAAACATAGCTTTGAAGCTAAACAGTTCATTGTTATGGCCTGTATGCTCTTTGAAGAGACATTCATTCATTGTTTGTATAAGTAAGAGCTGATTTATATTTACTTCATGCCCTGCAGCTCTTACAGTGTTTCCATGACAAGAAGGAAAAAAATGAAGGAACGTCTTGAAACATCAGTACGCTTCACCATGGCTAGGGATTGCTACATCCTACCACCTTTCATGTCATAATGACAACTGAGCTGCCACAGCCCTAACTGCTGTCACACTAAATAGGTGAAATACTGTACAGTGCCTTGTGAAAGTATTGGGCCCCTTTGAACTTTCAACCTTTTGCCACATTTCAGGCTTCAAACATAAAGATAGAAAATTAAAAATTTTTTGTGAAGAATCAACAACAAGTGGGACACAATCGTGAAGTGGAATGAAATTTATTGGATGTGTCAAACTTTTTTAACAAATAAAAAACTGAAAAGTGGGGCGTGCAATATCATTCGGCCCCCTTGCGTTAATACTTTGTAGCGCCGCCTTTTGCTGCAATTACAGCTGCAAGTCTCTTGGGGTATGTCTCAATCAGTTTTGCACATCGAGAGACTGAAATTGTTGCCCATTCTTCCTTGCAAAACAGCTCGAGCTCAGTGAGGTTGTATGGAGAGCGTTTGTGAACAGCAGTCTTCAGCTCTTTCCACAGATTCTCGACTGGATTCAGGTCTGGACTTTGACTTGGTCATTCCAACACCTGGATACGTTTATTTGTGAACCATTCCATTGTAGATTTGGCTTTATGTTTTGGATCATTGTCTTGTTGGAAGATAAATCTCCGTCACAGTCTCAGGTCTCTTGCAGACTCAAACAGGTTTTCTTCCAGAATGGTCCTGTATCTGGCCCCATCAATCTTCCCATCAAGTCTGACCATCTTCCCTGTCCCTGCTGACGAAAAACAGGCCCAAACCATGA